TATCGTGACTGATTCTGACTCAATAGCAAGAAATGCATGGTAGGATTAAACAGCAAGAACTTCAAGGTAGGATTCAATAGCAAGTAGTGCAAGGTACCATTAAACACCAAGAACTTTAAGGTTGGATTCAATAGTAAGAAATGCGAGGTAAGATTCAATAACAAGTAACACAAGAGAGTAAATATTCAATGGCAAGAACTTTAAAATAACATTCAATAGCAAAGTAATGCAAGAATGTATTCAGTTACAAGAAATATAAAGTGTAAATCAATACAAAAAAGTGCAGAAAAGTATTTAATAGCAATAATATAAGGTAGGATTCAAAGACAAAAAAATTCAAGGAAGGATTCAATAGTAAGAAATGCAAGGTAAGATTCAATAACAAATTGTGCAGAAGAGTATTCCATAACAAGATATACAAAAGAATATTCAATAGCAAGAAATGCAAGGTAGAATTCAACAGCACAGTAATGCAAAAAGTATTCTTTAGCAAGGACTTCAGAAGATTATTCATTAGCAAGAAATGTAAGATAGTATTTAATAGCAAGAAATGCAAGATAGAATTCAATAGCAAGAAATGCATGGTTAGATTAAATAAATAGCAAGTAGTGAAATAGAGTACTCAACAAGAAAGTAATGAATGGCAGGATTTCATAAGGAAGTAATGCAAGAAAATATTCTATAGCAAGAAATTCAACATTGGATTTTAAACAAGAAATGGAAAGTAAGATTCAATAACAAATAATGCAAGGTAGGATCGAATAGCAAGGAAAATTCCAATCATACAGTAAAAATCTTCGTAGAGCTTAGTTGCATGACTGAACCTACAAGAGGATAAATTTCATGTAAATAAGTAAGTTAACTAAGTAAGTTTCAAAAGTAACGTATATACAAAGCTTTACGAAATGTTTGTTCATGACTAAATACAAATTTGGTGAACATAAGCACAAGTGAATTGGCAGGATTGCATTTTTATTATGTTGCTCAGCCAAGAATACAGTAAAAACAGCCAGGAGTATTTCATCCATTTGACTTTCTTCTCCTTCATCAAAACCCAGTTAATAAATGTTTACACTTTCATTATGTAGTGAAGCACTGCCTATCTTAAAGCCGTGAAGAAAAAAAAGCTTGTTCTTACCACCCTACAAAAATCAATATTGACTGAAAAATATTTATACTAAAAGTTGTACACAACATACTTCAAAATTATTGGTATCATAATCCAAACTATAAACAACACAAACTATTTAACACAAATTCATCGTTTTTTCTATTTAATTAACTCCAAAATGTTCATTATTTCCAAGTTTCAGAAAAATTGAAATTCTTACTTAATAAGTGTGTACCTAATACTTATTACTTAATAGATATTATTAGATGTAATTTTAACATCAGTGAATGAAAATAACATCAAGTGTTTAGGGCATCACATCACTAAAAACTGCTCAATTGATTGAAATACAATTATGTTCATACACTAAATGGATATAGTATAAACACGTATTGTAGAATATTATACAATAACAAAGTTGAAATTAAGTTTATAAATTCCCATCTTTATACCAAAAAAAACCTTGAAAAATACAAAATTTCTATCATTCAAAAAAGTTAATTTTTCTAAATTAAGTATAGATCAAACCCAAATGTAAAAAATAATAATCATTCTACAATGATATATTTCTAAAGCATTTACTGACAAAGACCTACCTAATACAAAAGGTTTCTTAAAATATAATCCAATGACCATAAATTTTATTTTTTTTACTTAAACAAATCCATAATTTTGTTAACATTCAGATATCAATTCAGAAAATGTTTAGTAAAGAATAATCCAACAGTAATGAATAACAATAAAAAAAAAATTGCTAAGAATGGATAAGGCAATTTAAAAGAAAGTGATTTAGAGAATGCATTAAGCACAAATATTCAAGATTTATTTTTCAAATTCAAGTTACATAAAAATAATTAAATGAATTATATATTGAGTAATTTCAAGTTACAAATATATAAATTAGCTCTTACTTTGATAGCATGTATATATAAACTAATGTAATACATGCTGAATTTAGTAGTTTTAATTCAATAATTAAATTGTTTCATGTGATAACTTACTAATGCATACATATATAAAATTAAAAATTCACACAAAAGTGAAGATATAAAACAGGCAAGCGAAAGACTGTGATAAACTTTGAATTTTTTTCAACAAAACAAAAAACTATACAAAATTAATAATAGCCCAATCAGGTACTTTTACAAAAAATGAGCAATAAAACGTAAAAAAAAAAAAATGGCAATGATTTGTTGTCTTTTACACAAATTTACCCTAATAAATAATACAAATTTTCAAAACAAAATGAAAGATATATATATTCATTGATAAGTAATTCTCTTAAAAAAAATAGTTCTTAGAAAAGAATATGCAACTTACCAATTACGATTGCAGGCATTAAAGAAGTTATGACTACATCTGAGTACTATAACAATGAGAAGAAATTAAAAACAAAACAAAAAACAACGAAATATGCACAAATTATACAATCAAAAATCAGCTAAGCTTTCACTTAACTGGCAGAAACACAAAAAAGATTATTTGTGTTAAAAAAATTATTTTCATATGAACAAGATATGTGATTAAGGATACTAGTATTGCTGAATGATAAATTTTATTAAAAAATATGGTTTGTCATTACTCGACACATTTGAACACCACTTTAAATTTTTCTAACCATTAACAATGTAAGACAACTGTATCCACCGACTTATTCTCTAAATGTCTAGTTCATCATTAAACATGAAAATCTGTCAAGTTAATTACAAACTATAATACCTGCAATGCCTTATAATGAAACAAGAAATGTATAAAATATTAAGTGAGAAAAATCTACACAATATATTACTGAAAATGACAGCACATATCAAAACCAGTAAACATGTGAAACCTCTTAATAAAATTAAAGTCTTACCTTTATATACTGGCCCATTTTTCAAGCCAAATAACATAATTCAGTAATACCTTATTGCTCAATATCCAGTGCATCATGTACTTTTTGATTAATTATCAATACCCTTTATTACAGTACTATCTTAATTAGTTTCTTTGCTCACAAAAAAAAACAAAAAAACAGTTCCTTCCATGTGTTTATAATTCAAAACATGGAAATTAGGTATGATGTCCAATTTCACTTTCAGAATTGAAACATCTAAAATAACATTTGTAGAATGACACAGAGTAAAACTGTAAGCAATTTCAACAATAATATTTATAGTAAGCATCACAATGTAATCATGAACACTATAAATATATGTAAATAGATATAATGCATATAATGTTCATACATTATCTCTTTGGCTTGAAGATGCAGAGCTTGAAACTAACTTTGATGGCCAGTGGCAAATGTCTATAATTTACTTTAAAAGCTATTCACAAACTTGATTAAGATGCTGGTATTTTCAGTATACTATCAAATTTTAGATCTGTGTTTGAGATAATAATTGCATATCCTAATATTAATATAAAATAGAAAATATATAATAAAAAAAATGAGACACTGCTTGAACATGTTTTTACTTGATATTTTAAACTTGGGAAATCATATTCAAAGATGTTTGAGAAGGATGCTTAACAAACTACCAGAAAAGGCTTACTGATAAATTATTGTACGGTTGCTTTTTCCATAAAAGTTGCAGAAAATAGTTAGCATCAGAAAATAAACCTCTGATGAAGGAAAGTCCACTTTGGGGAAGCACTCAGGTTATTGGGTTTCTTTTCTGATGCTAACTTGTCTGAATATTCATATTTGTTAAACACTAGTCTGCAAGACAAGGATGACCGTCTTACTATACAAAAGAAGTACCGTATTTTTCAGTGTATAAGATGTACTTTTTTACCCCAAAATGTGATGTCAAAATCTGCTTGTGTCCTATACACCAAAGGTATGAATAATATATATGTATATATATATTTAAATAGACATGCATAGTTTAGTTCAATTGAATGTGTTAT